ATTGCTGTCCCTTTGGCACTTGCTCGCCCACTTATTTTTCAGGCACATAAGCAACATCATTTGGGAAAAACTGCATTATTACAGCAACTTGAACGATTTTTTTATATTCCATTTGCTTCTTCGCTAATAGCAGATGTTTGTTCTCAATGTACCATTTGTGCCCAAACCAATGAACGCCAAGGACCAGTAATACCACCTGGCAGACAACCAATCGCTTATTTTCCTATGGACTATGTTGTTGTTGATTTTACTGACATGCCTAGAAGTAAGAAATATGTAGCATTGTTAGTAATAATTGATACCTATTCAGGATGGATTGAAGCATTTCCAACTGTAAATAAGAAAGCTATACAGGTTGCCAGAATATTTCTTAAAGAAATTATTCCTAGATTTGGTTGCCCTTCTAGGATTTCATCAGATAATGGCCCTGAATTTGTACACCAAATCAATCAGGCTTTAGCCCAAGCATTAGGAATTAAGTGAAGATTTCATTGTGCTTTCCGCCCTCAATCGGCTGCTAGAGTGGAAAGATCCCATAGAACAATTAAAACACTTACTACCAAATTTTGTTTGGAAACTCATCTACATTGGCCAGATGTTTTGCCTATGGTTTTGTATGCAATCAGACTGGCCCCCCGCACTAAATTACAACTTAGTCCTTATGAGCTCATGTTTGGCCGTCCTCCTTGCCTGTTTAAACCTGACAGTCAAGGATGGCCCGATTTGGCACATAAAGGGGGAGTAGATCAACAGAAATTGTTATATCAGTTACAGCTTCATAATTTGGCCGTTTCAAAATTGCGCCATTATATGATGGAACAATAACCCCCTCCAGTAGTTACAGCAACACATGGGTTCAAGCCTGGAGATAGAGTGTGGGTAAAGCACTGGAAACCAGATCCCTTGAGCCCAAGATGGAAAGGACCGTATACTGTTGTCATGTGTTCTCCTTTGGCAGTGAAAACCCTGGAAGGAAAATCTTGGATCCACTGGAGTAGAGTGAAAGCAGCTGCACCTGCAGATCCGGTGACCTACAAGGTGGACAAGACTGACAAGCCTTTGGTGTTGAAATTTACAAGAAATACAGCAACGGGTTCCCAAGACACGGTGTGATCAACAACCTTGCTGAGACACCCCAGGAAGCTGTCTCTCTACGCACGGTGGAAGATATGAGGATTCTACAGCTCATAATATTTGTTAATTATTTAATATGCACACACATTCCTACACAAATCAGTACAATGGCTACATGAGAGGTCATAATGCAGAAACCCTCTAATAAAGAATTATTGAGTAGCACCAAGAAAGAGCAGAAACACAGGGAAACCAAGGTTGTCAAAACTGTATCAAAACTACAAAACAAGGAAACCAGATAACCAAGACTTTGATTTACCATACAGTTAAACCAGAAGGGTGCCAAGATAGTTCTCCTGACTCTTGTACATACAATAGAACTACATATAAAGTTTGTAGAAAAGGTGTCCAATATCAGTGTTATAACCCGAAGTCTGATCCTGATCATTGGGCCTTACAAATCAAAACACATAGAACAAGAACTAGCTATAAGGACCAGGCACTCTTAGGGATCTCCCAATGGAAATCCAATCCACACTCCAGTTTCAGCGTCACCTTTGATGTTTGCAAAGCAGCTAATTATTGGACTCCAACATATGGTTGCGGAGGGATCGGTAATATTCACAACTTTATCCCAAAACATAAGTACTTGTGCCCACCAGATGGATGTGCGGTCAAATGTAAGTGGTGGTCATGTATTAAGTGGCATACCCAAGACCCAAAAGAGATAGACCACATCTTGTTTGAAAAGAATGAAACAAAAGCAAATTCCTGTGGAATGGATAACTGTAATTTGGTGACTCTCACAGTCAAGAATGGCAGTTGGTTCCTAGAACAGAATAGGTGGGAAGGTAAGAAATGGATGTTTGGGATAGGAATAGATACAAATGGCTATGACCCAATGTCAGAAATAGAAGTCAAAATTATAACTGCAACCAAAAGACCAGAACAAAAATCACTATTTTGGTCATATTATGAGGAAATGGAGAACCTACATATTCCTGAAGTATCTAGACATGTAACGAATACCTTTGTTAAGTTAGCAGAAGACATTGCCCATACTTTAGGCGTGTCTAACTGTTTTGTGTGTGGTGGAACAAACATGGGAGAAAGGTGGCCGTGGGAGGCACAAGAGTTAAATTATACCAAGGTACTGGAAATGTCTAAAAATAATAATTTAACCTATACAAGTGGGAAAGATGGTAATTGGGGTCTCACTTCCAACTTGGTAGGACATGTATGTTACTCAAGAAACAAAAAAAAATCTTGTGTAGCAGTAGGTGACCTCCTATGCACAGGGACATGGGAAGATGGTAAATGGTGGTCTGGAACCAACAAGACCACTGCTATGGATCTTGGAATTAACAAGGCTGCTATAACTATGAAGGTTTGTAGGCCTGAAAGTTTTGTTAATTCTAGGATGTATTTTAATTCCTTGCTTGATCCCCTGCCTTATAGCCATGATTCGGAGGATCTCAGAAAGGACAGCCCAATTAACAATGTTAGCCTTATGGGAATATAAAATGGTACCTTCAGGAGATACGGAATCAGAGGTAGAATAATGGAAGTTTAAGCTGGAAAACTTCCAAAAGGGGGGAGTAAAGTGGGAAAGAAATAGAATAACATAGAATAAAGAAGAATAAAGTAAAATAATAATAATAATGAAAAATCACTAAAAGCAAAAATCATGTGTCTGCATAATTTCTGAAAGAAAGCTGTGTTGGCCAAAAGCTGTATTAACAGTACGTGAATGACCTAATGCATATTTAGAAACATTGTATAAAAGTAAAAACTGCCTTCATTGTATTCCCATGAGAAACGGAGCTAACGTGTGAGAAACTATCTGAATGTTACACAAAAGTAGATTCCATATACAATGTAAGATTCCATCTATGCTTCCTTTGTTCCTGAGAGAAAGAAACCTATAAAGCTTTGGTTTGGACCCTCCCCCTTGTTCAGAAATTTGCTGATTGTTAAATCACTTCTGAACCTTTTTGCGCAAAAATAAAGATCTCTCTTTCACCCATGGAATTTCGTAAAAGCCCTTTATTTTTTTAAGGCTTTATTTTTCCACAAGACAGGTATTTGAGTCCCAGCACTGGGGAAAAGCCTGCTAAAGCAAGCTAAAAAAATGATGGAGTAATATAAAGGCAGAAAGTTGTGGTTTTAGTATTATTATTTTTAGTAATTTATAGCTTGGTCTGCCTTGCTGTAGATGGCTAAAACTAAAACTTTCCTATTTTATGATTCCTGATTGGTCAGCAATTCTTAAGTGACTTATAGAAAAGCTACTCTTTGACTAAAGAGGGAGTTAAAAAGATGAAGGAGCAAATTATTAGGCATGTATTTGAAAAATCTTTAAGTAAAATCTATCAGTTCGTAGAATGGCTCTGCTTTAAGAATGTTAAAATGACTATTCAAACTACTTCAGAGATACAAATATGGGTAAAAAGTTACCAAACAACGGAGGCAATTTTACAAGTAGTTGACAATGCAGAGGAGTCAACTGTAATTTTTGAATACAAACCTGACACCAATTTTTATTATGATGGTTTAAATAGAAGCCTCCCAACACAATTGAAAGAAAAACTCCAAGAAAATTTGTAACTTTTAAAAGGACAAGTTTGGGATTTTTTTCCTCATGGATATTAACAAAGTTGGAAATTCCTTGAGAAAAAGAAAAGCATATAACTACTTGGCAAAGATTCCAGAGAAGAAAAAGATTTTATTCCATGAAGACAAGCTGGAAGGATTGACTTAAACTTAATGAGTCAATTGGAATTAGGATGATTTTCATTGGTTTCATATTTGTAATTAAGAAAGTCTCAATCTAAAGTTTGAAAATGTATTTTTTCCTTTATATATAAGGCTTAAGTAATTCCTAAATTTGTAAAATATTATTGAAAGTATATTTGAAAATATGTTAAGAGAAAGTTTAAAAAAAGATATATTAGCTTGAAGAAAAATTTAGACCTTTATAAAGGATGTATACAAGAAGAAAAAATATTCTGTGATGGTAACTTGGAGAGAGTGATCTAAATTTAATGAGCAAATTGGAGTTAGTTGGAATTTTATTGGTCTGAAAGTGAACTTTAAAGTATGCCTGCTAAGAAGACATTTAAAAAATGTGTTAGAATGTTTTAATTTTAGAAATATTTTTAAAGAAAAGCTTAGTGTTTTAAAATGGATAAAAAAACCTTTTAAGGTTAAAGAATCTGAAAGAATACAGTGAATTTTGTTAATATAAATGGTGATATTTATAAAGATTATTAAGTGCAATTAGAAATACATATTATTTCAACAGCAAGGAAGATAAAGCAGTAATGGTTAATTTGATTGTTCTATTCAAAGAGGAGAATATATTGATGTTTTTTATTTGGATATCACTTTTGGATTTTGTGCTTGTGACGAAAAAATGAAATTTTGACTTTGGTTTTGCCGATTGGATAGATTTGTTGTTATAGAAATGGCTAATTATATACTAATGTGTAAAAGTAAAAAGTTGTAATCTTGTATTGTGCTAAAAAAGAGTCAGATGTTTTCTTTCTTCCCTTATACCTCCTATTTTCTTTCCCCTTTTCTTTTTCTTCCCTTAATTTCCTTTTTTATTTTTATTTTTTGTATTTTGTATTTTATTTTATATATATAAAAATTTTTAATTATATATACAGATGCATGAGGACCAGATAGATACATAAGAAAGCTGAAGACAAAGAGAAGTGATTATCATGTGGGGTTGTTTTGTTTTGTTTTGTTTTTTGCTGTACTTAAATACGGGCCACGAGCTGGATATTGGAATATTGGAAAGATAAATATATGACACAGATATATGGCCCAGTTCATGTTTCTGTATTTAAAGAAACAAGGGCCCTACGCTGGATTTTGGCAGGTCAAAAAGTCAAAGTCCTAACCTCTTTTTGTCCCACCTATTTTGTCAGACATCTGTCCTTCTGGACAAGGTGCACAATCATAGCAGCAAAATTTCTCTTCTTCCTTCTTCTTTCTGCTGGAGCCTGGATCACAGTGGTCATTACAAAGAGAGACAGGCAGCATCTTAAGATATATGAGGAATAAAATGATAAAATACCTGCATCAATATAGCTTTCCCAAACAAGAAACCCACACCTATGATGATGAAGAAAAAGAAAATGTAAAATGGAATACTTGAATTAATGGGGAGGAGTTGGCAAAAAGTTTTGTTTTCACAGGATTTGAACATTTTATATTGCTCCTAATGCTATTTCTAAATATGAGAAAATGTCATAAATGTCAAGATTCTGTTTGGGATAGAATATTCCAATAAGTTGCATGAATTGGGTACTACAGGTTGTCATTGACTTATGGCCAGTCACTGAGGTCATTGGTCATAGCACTATGTGACCAAATTTCATTTTACAACTGGTTTTACAGTGGTTGTAACATGAGTCACCGTAGTTTTAAAACAAATGGCATGGTTCATAATTGACTCACATAGTCAATAAGCAAATAAATTGTGCCAAATATGTAATAAGTAAAAAAAAAAAAGGCTGCAAATCATGGTCATGAGACTTTTACTCACTGCAACTGATTGTAAAAATAATGGTTTGCCAAGTGCATGATCATATGACTGCAGCAGAGCTAGCAGTTGTAACTTTGAGGATGGATCACAAGTAACTTTTTTCAATCTGTTTTAATTTCAATAAAATAAAATAAAATGACTAATCAGAAATCAATAACTACCTGTACCTAAGTTGAAAATCTTTGTTTCCCAGGCACAAATGGAAGCATTTGCCATAAATCTGCCATAGACACAGCAGTGTTCAATTGCATATATAGAAAATGTTATACCTCATCAGCTTGAAAAGCCCCAAAACACAAAGACACCATTTTCTTCAATTAGTGCCATGTATTTGGCAATTGCTCCAAAGAGAGATTTACTTTTGCTATTAGTTGAGAATCTGCGCTTCTTCTCACCTGGTTAAAGCTTCTGTGCCATACAATTTGATTGTCATTGAGAGTTAATTCTCTGCCTGGTAGAGCCCGAGGTGCCAATGTTCCAACCTTGACTTGAGAAAAGGAATTATTGGGCAAAATAACCCAGTTTACAACATAAAAGCCTGTAATCAATTCTCTGTTTCCATCAAAACTGATAGTGTCTCCCATCGTATTGTTGAATACAATGCTTTTCAAGACAGAATGAAACTGTATTATATGAAAAAGAAAGGAAGAGCAAGAATTTGAAATCGCAACTACTTTTCAAACTGGACTACCCTGTTTTGAAAAATGCAAATGAGGATTTAAGGTGTCATAGATGAATTTGTATTTTTGTGTGTGCATGTGTTTGCATATTGCAGGTGTGCATATTTGAGTCAGTGTTGATTCTTGATGACTGCATGGAAATGTCCTGCGGGTATTGCAATTTTCTTAGCAAGATTTCAGAGATTTCTAACTGCCTCCTTTTTAGGGCTGAGAGGGAATAATTGTCTGGCTTTGAGCCTTGACAGCTATACCAAATAGGCCCTACACCAAAATTAAATCACAATTTTAACAAATTCCTCCATATCTTTCAAAATAAATAGAGATCTTTGGAAAAACACAAAGGGCTGTGATAACAATGAATTCTGTAGAATAGGTGACCACTTTCTCTTACTGTAAAGGGAAGCTTTTAAATCAATGCTTGCATTTTTTTTCTTACTATTGTTCTTCATTGAATTACTAACTGAAAACTTTTCCTTTCATGGAACAAGAAGTGTTCCATTCTACAGCATTCATTTGGACAACAGTGTTCTGAAATAATGACACTCATTCCCAGTAACATTACTAGGGAGCAAGGAAATATGTTGGCCCAATTACATACACAACATTTGTGTATTTGAAAGAAAATAAAGTACCTGCCATGGTTTTAAATTATGAAATATTAATTGCTCTCTTCCCATTAAATGTCTATATCTGGACCTGGACTTTAATAAAATATGCAAAGAATGAGCCACAATATAGACTGCATTGTAAATGTTGTAACTGTGACCACTCATGTTCATATCAAATAATGTAGTTGGCAAGCTCTCTAACTTTTCATCCCCAGTACACAATAACTTGCTATCTTCATTTATACTGGAAATGGGCAGCCAAATGCCTGTTCCCAAAAATTATGAATGAAATTGTCTTCTTTTGCCCAGGATGGCCTTATAGTCTGAAGAAATTCTTGGAATCCAGGTGGCTCTTTTGAGGGAACTGTGAATGAAAGGGCACCATGGAAACTCTGCATATCCCAAAGTCTCTGAATGGACATTGATCCAAAATTCCAATGGGATGTAACAATCCACACTTTACCCAAAGGCGGCCATGAAAAAAAAGATGCTAGAAGGATGATTATTCTCAGATTTTGCATGGATGGTGGTGCTCCATAGATTAAACACACTTTGACTTTATCATCCATAAAGAGTTGATCATATCTTAACTCCATTGAAATCAGCTGTGTATATTCATCCATATATGCTTTCTTTGGTGTTCTAAGCATGAAAGCATAACAAATGTTATTTTGGAAAAGCAATGGTCCAATTCTCTGCAAAAACATATCTCCATAGTCATCGTCCACAGCTATGATCCCAATCCAAATCCATCCAAAATGCTGAAGTAATTGAATAATACCAGTGTACTGATGGATTTCATTTGGGACCATTTGGTACAAGAATGAAAATATATCTTTGTCACCATGTACTGGAGAAAATGTTCCATAGACAAGCTGAAAAGCAATATACAACAAATAATCAGAACCATTACATAAAAATATGAAATGGGTTAATCTTCATTATAGTTAAGGCAGAAAGTTGGCACTAAGGAAATTGCTGGAAATTATTCAGACAGTTCCTATATCTGCAACATTTCTTCAGGTAAAAGGGTTGCTTATGTGTTTCTGAACCCATTTAAACTGAATGTGAAAACACCTAAAACATAACACAAGATCAAAAAACAGGCTTTTGGTCTTACGGTATATCAAGTTTGATCACTTGAAGGCAAGCAACATGCAGCAGAGACAGAATATTTTCTGTAGTGGCCCAATTAATTTTGAAACTCAATACTACTCAAGCAGCAAGTAGAAGAGATTCTTTTCTGTAGTGGCATCACCAGATGGAATTTGGTGTCAATAGGTGTTTACCAATCTATTCCTCCAATATTTGGAGAAAATTACATTTATAAATGTTTAGTTATCCTTCCAGCTTATTCATATTAATCATAATTGAATGTAAAATACAGTGTTCTTCCAGATTCTCCCCAGTGAATGTCAACTCTGAAAATTATTCTAAAAACACTTTAAGAATTCAAGGATTTAAAGAAATATGGAATTTCTAGGAAGCCATGTTAAGGGCCTACCTGTGGAATCTTGTAGTTGACAAGAACAGTGGCCATAATGGAGGAGGTCACAGTCAAACGTCCACCAAAGGCAACAATAAATGTTTTTGTTAAATCACAAGAAAAGTTTGGAAGAAACTTCTGCTTTGGAGAAACTAAGCTCAGAATTGCCTTAGAGGTTATCCTCTCAATAAAGTTGTTCACAATGTGGAAACCCAAAGTGATGTTTGGTAAGAGCTCAGGGTTCCTATTGATCTCCTTGACAGCAAACACCAAAGCAAGGATATGCTGATATGATTTAAGTTCATAACTGAAAAATATAAAAAAGGAAAAAAGAGAAAGAAGAAAACAGAAAATCTATCTACTTAATGAAATATCACAAAAAGTGTCCACCAACCTACTTCTGTTTTCATGTTCTAAAAGCTATAAAGTTGTAGGCCATGAAATTCAAGGAAGATCATAGACCAGTTTTACTATTTACTAAGAGAAAGCCATCTCTGGCTGCAGTTCCTAAAAACCAGCAGGAAGAGGTAGAGGAAACCTTGAAACATGCAATGTTCTCCATCCTTTTTCAAAAGGATTGCTATGTTTGACCCATTGCTAGTTTCCAAGAAAAGCTCAATGTCTGCTCGGATATATGTTAGAAGGGACTGGGAGAAAGAAAAACTTGTCATTCCCTTTAGACAACTAAATAATTTGGCCCAATGCAAAGGGAAGGAAATGTTTTTTTATCACCTTTTTTTGGAGGAAAAAAAACCCACAGGTTATATCTCAATGATAGAGAGTGTGGTTTGAATCTATTTCCAAAAATTACTTTTTTATATATGTGAACTAATTATTGAATCTCTATTCCCTGGCTCAGACAATATTAAGTATTTGACAGCAATTTAGTTTACTCATTGTTGTGAACACAAACCATAACGATGATTTACTCAGCCAGAAATAATTGACCAACAAATTATCCCAAACTACTAAACATGGTTTATGGATCACAAAGGCTGCATTCAGAAACTATCAAAGTGAAAATCAGAATATGGAATAAAGAATAATGGAGTTGGAAGGAAACTTGAAGGCCTTCTAGTACAACCCCTTGGTGATATATCATTCTGGACAAATGGCTATCCAATCTCCTCTTAAAAACTTCCACTTATGAGGCATCCACAATATCTGGAATGAAGCCATTCCACTGATTAATAGTTCTCACTGTCAGCTAATTTAGCCTTAGTTCTCCTGGTGAAAAATTTCTACCCTTGTATTTCTCTAAGGTGCTTTGAAGAATAGTTTGAACCCCTATTTTCTGTGACAGCTCTTCAAATACTGAAAGACTGTTTTCATGTTATCCCTAGTCTTTAGACATAGCCAGTTTCTGCAATTGTTCATCATATGTTTTAGCCTCCAATCCCCTAATCATTTTTGATCCTCTGTTCTGTACTCAATTCAGAAGAATTGTAATTGATTTGGTACAATATTTGAAGCCACATGGACTTTTCTACTTAGCAGACTTCTTATATATCAAAGAGAGAGAAAACTAATTAACAGAAAATTCCTAATGACATTATAATTATAAACATTTTTAAAAGCCTATCACTTTATAATCCTATTGCTTAACTCTTTTTCCTCAATCACTTCCCCCAATTCCCACTAGTTGGAAGAAAAAAGAATATAATTCCTTACATCACTTCATTGATTACCATCTGGGAGGGTTCTTCTCTGAAGGAAGGGCTGTTGTGGAAGAAGAAAGCTTGAGAGAGAATTGCACCAATGATAACATCTCCTGGCTGAGCAAAGTGATGGGGTATAGGAAATGGGTCATCAGGCATGGTACAATTCAAAGCATACAATTTGCATGTAATAAAGAACAGAAACACAAGAAGCATCATTATTGTCATGCCTATCCTATTATTGACATTTTCCATCCTACGAAAGCGATATGTTCCTACACAGAAAAATACTCCATCTTGGCACCATTATACTCCATGATATCATTTTTCATTATCCTTATATAGAATACCTCTAAAATGGTTGCCACAAAACAGGAATAGTCAAACAGATTCCCTTTATTTTAAACATTATCTTTGCTTCCTTCTCTTTTCAATTATTTAATGCATCATGAACTAAAGTCATTTTTTTAAAAAAAAAAAGAGTTTTATATTTGAGAAGCTACTTTCAGAGCTTAATTTCTTTTCTTTTTTTGAGAAGAAAAGAAATTCGGATGATTTTCTTCATTTTAGTAAAATTCTGTATGTACAACCACATCTTACAGGCAATAGAGCTTCCATTAGTTCATTTCTGTTCCATGATCTCTCCATGTATAAAGGGTTTTTTTTTTCTAAAGAGATCTAAGGAAGGAACAGAATTTCTCAGAGTGGGATAATAATCCTTACAAAGTACATCCTCTCATTTATGAAGATTAGAATAAGAAATATGAAAGAGTGGAGAAAAAAACAAAGAAAAGTATAGAACTACTGGAGCTTCAGAAACAAGATAGCTTGGAATACCATATGGGGATCAAAATAGAGAGGCTTGAATAGATAGCTCTCTATACATAGTACAACAAATGACATTCTGAAGCTAGGAAAAAGCACTCCTATTATTAGTCTTTCTGAAAATTGAGTATAATATCATTAGTAATGTTAAAGAAGAAGCATTTAATTTTCACAACAATTCAGAAAATAAGTTGTTTTCAACTTTCAGTATTATGCACATTTCTCCTGAGAAATGCATTAGACCTGGATATTTAAGGACTATAATTTACTTTAATTTTGGATGCCATAAAAGTGCATCACTATTTGTTAGATCACATTTCCTGAGAAATATACGAGTCTGCTTTCAGGCACAATAAAGAGATAATATACAATTAATATTTCTTATAGTGGTACTAGATATTTTACCTTCTTCCTACTCTTAATATCTCTTTTCTTTATCAATTTTATTTGGTTTTCTATTGCCATATTTTTTATTAACAACCTTGTGTTTTTTTTTAATTAATGTTGAAATCTTTCTATTTGGCCATTAATGTTCTAACTGCCTTTAAAGGATATTTCAGAACCAGAACCAAGTCTGCAAAAGTGTTTAACTCTATTTTAAGCTTTACTCCCACAACCCTCTCATCTTAATTTATATTTCTGTTCAGTATTTCAAGAAACAAAATAAACAAGAGAGGAGATGGTGGGCATCCCTATCTTGCTTCTTTTTGTAACATACAGGGTTTTCTTAGATCACCAACATTAGCAATGTCTTGTGCCTTTTGTGAAAAAAAATCTTGAAAAATAAGTTGTCAAAGGCCTCTGAGAATATCAATGAAGCCTATTTTTTCATTATTTTGCTGCAGTATTATAGCATTGTTCTTTAAATATCTCTTAGGTAAAAATTCATACTGAGCCTCAGAAATAAATTCTAGCAAAATCATGTTCAGTCTATCAACTACAATCATTGTGAACATCTTGTAATCCTAAAGGCCTTGTCAAAGGCCTTCGGTGCATCTAATAAAACCAAAACAGCTAGTTTTTCATTATGTCGCTCCTGTATTGCAAAATATCCAGTACAATTTTAGCACTGTCCTTAAAGTGATTTGAATTCTTGAATTAATTTAATTTTAATTAATTTTGCATCTCAGTTTGAGCAGTGCTTATTTTCTCATGCTGCAACATTGTTTCAATAGATCCGTGGCTTGTTGGGCTAGATCAGGGATAGGCAACCTTGGCTCTTTTATGACTCATGGACTTCAACTCCCAGAATTCCTGAGCCAGCCATGCTGGCTCAGAAATTCTGGGAATTGAAGTTCACGAGTCATAAAAGAGCCAAGGTTGCCTATCCCTGGGCTAGATGTTCCAACAGAAGGTGCAGAGGAAGTTTTTTTCATAAGTCTGGTGAGATTTGATTCACTCATTTTTTGAGCCAACTATCTTAGGCTAAAATCCAAATCGTGAAAAGAGTCAACTACTTTAGGTTAGATCCAAATTCTCAAGGAGAAAAAACAAGATGAAAAAAAGCAAGGAGAAAAAAAAGCCAACTATCTTAGGTTAAAATCCAACCATAAAATCGAGCCAACTACTTTAGGCTAAATCCAAATCCTCCAGTGAAATCACAAATGTAAAACGTCCACTGTCTCCAAATAATTCCTGTTTTGGTTATATCCAGAGTTAACAGATATAATTGTAGAGAGTCTTTTCTCATGCAGAATCACATAAAGACACTTGTTTACACCAGGTGTTGTTTCAAGGTCAAACACTTTTCAAATTATTTTATTATTTAATATTACTGTAGTATCTCCCTTCACCACTAGATTTCCTCATACACTGTATTGTCTATATCCGGTTTTAAAAGATTGTTACCAAGTTTTCTTTTAAAGTTCTTAGTAAGTTATTTACTCTAGTGATTAAATCTCAAAAGATTTTCCATGTCCTGTAGGTTAGGCCAGGGCTTTTCAACCAATGGTACGGGTACCACCTGTGGTAGATTGGCACCTGGCAGGTGGTACGCAACCATCCTAGAAAAGTGGTAGCGGGAGAGGGGAATGAGCTGAACCGGTGGTAGCACCACACAAGCCTGAGTGAGAGATGGCTGGAGCTGCAGGGCTGTTAGGACTCAGCGAAAGCACCAGGATCAGTGTCGCTTTCCAGCTGATTGGCACTTCTTCGGGGCTGTCAGGGCTCAGTGGAAGCACCAGGATCAGCACCAGGCTCCAGCTGGAGCTCTGCGCTGATCATGGTGCTTCTGCTGAATCCTGAAAAAGTACAAATCAGCTGGAAAGCAGCACTGAGCCTGGTGCTTCTGCTGAGCCCAGAAGAAGTGCCAATCAGCTGGAATGTTGCAGCATCTCCAGGGTCTTGTGATTTACATTCAAATGCTTGGCAACTGATTCATATTTATGATGGTCACAGTGTCCCAGGGTCATGTGAAGTCACCAAAACCTGCTGCAACCACCCAGCAGATGGGGGGAATAAATACCAAACACCCCCCACCCAACCCCCACTGCCAATCCTCAACAGAAATGCTCACAACAATGGAAACCTAGGATAGGAGGAAGAGCGCCACCGGGCGGGCAGGCAGGTGTCTTGCTCGGCTGTGGCTTGGGGGGCACTTTTTTCAGTGCCATTGTAACTTTGAACAATCACTAAGCGAACTGTTGTAAGTCGAGGACTACCTGTACTTTATCACTTTTTTCCTTTCTTTTTTTTGGGTCAAGTTTTTGACACCTTGCTAGGCGACTGGTGGTATTTGGATATTGCCATGTCCTAAAAGTGGTACAATGAGTGAAAAGGTTGAAAAGCCCTGGGTTAGGCAGTCTTTCTTTAAGTCAATCTAAGTTCCGTTTTTAAGTATTCTTTTATATTCTTTAAATTCCTTCCCCCTCTTGTAATTGCTCACTGCTTTTAACTCTCTTCTGAGGTCTTTACTTCGTAGATTTTTCCCAATCAGGGGATCAGCATTTCTGAGTCCATAAGGAAAAGGAGCAGAAACAGGCTCATCCAGTTTCAGCACACTGTTGACAATCAGTTATTTGGTGGAGCACTGCAGCTCACTTTTTTTTCCGGTTGATGATGACTTGGGCTGTCTGTGCTTCCTATTCAGCCTTTCTTCCGTCCTTTAGAAAGGTTTCTTCAGTCCATCTGGACCAACCACCAGACTCCTGAAGCTTCCCTCCTTCTTCATTGCCCCTTCAGGCAACTTTCCGACCCCATGGGATCACTGGATCAAACGAAATCAGGCTAAGAAGCCGGAGCCCCTGTTTCTTCCACCCGTCTCATCAAAGTGTCAGACCGGAAGTCCAGATTTGATTCACTTATTGACCATGTAATTCCAATATTAACCATGTGATTTGATTTTAGAACTAGCTTCATGATGGTTGCAATATGATGTCCACAGTCACTCACATTGCAACCATCATAAAGCCATTGTAAAATCAAATCTGGTTATCTGTGCCTTGATTTATGACTGCAATGACTGGTCATAAGTGCCGTATTAGTGCTATTTATTGAAAAGTTCTGGCCCAAATAGAAATTTAACATTAATGTTTGCATTTTCTCATCTTTAGAAACAGTATTAGGAGTAATAAAAAACAACCTTTCAGATGCTGTGGAAAACATAACTTTTTACCTATAGCCTCCCATTAATTGAAGTTTTCAATTTTCATTTTCTTCTTCTTCATCATAGGGGTGGGTTCCTTGTTTGGGAAAGCTGTATTGATGCAGATGTTTTATCTCTTGATTCTCTCATATGTATTTCTCTTAAAGTACTGCCTGTCTCTCTTTGTAATAATCACTGCGATCTAGGCTCAAGCAGAAAGAAGAAGGAAGGAGAGAAATTTTGCTGCTATGATTGTGTACCATGTCCAGAAGGGCAGATTTCTTACAAAATTGGTAAGATTAAGAGATATTGGGACTTTGGCTAACTGACTAGGAAAAATCCAGGCCAGTGCCCTTATTTCTTTAAGTATAATGACATGAACAATACCGAAAAGAAAAGAAAAATCAAAAAGAAAGGAAATCCACAATATTAATCACTCCTCTCTCTCTTGTTTTTGCTCTCTCATCTATTTATCTACTTCTTATATATTTATATTTATATAATGTATAAAATCAAAGTTTTGAACCAAGTTTGACATATTCTCTATAAGCAGCAGCAAATAAATGAATGTTAAGTGAATTTAAATATTATATGAGGTTTTAAATAAATTGAATAATCTGGGTCGTATGTTTATCCTTCTAATATTTAAGGACTGGTCTCTAAGCAAAAAGGAAAGAAGGGGGGAATCAATTTCCATTGTTCAGCTATCAGTTTCCATGTAATGGGTAGGTAATTTCAAAAGATATATACA